CCCTCTCTGTAACAGGACCGCACCAGCGCCCATTGCGCTGGCGTCTACCTTGAGTTTGAAGGGCGTGGAAAAGTCAGGGGCCGCGAGCACGGGAGCTTGACTTAACAAAATCTTTACACTATAGAATGCAACCTGGCATTCTGTGGTCCACACGTAGTCTACTTTAGTCTCTTCGCCTCAACGGGGTGCACTTGTCCCTGTCCAACCTGCTGACCGAGATAAGTTACGGTGGCTTTTCCAAATTCGCATTTGGCCAAATTTAAAGTCAATGTAGCGCGGGCCAAACGGTCAAGAACCTGCTCCAATACATGCATGTGATTCGCCCATGTATCTGCATAAATGATTAAATCATCGAGGTAAACTGGACGATACGGTGTTAACTAGTCTCTGGAATGTAGCAGGAGCATTACACATACCAAAAGCCATCACATTGTACTGGCAGAAATGATCGGGGGTGACAAACGCAGAAATCTCTCTGGCACGGTCCGTTAAAGGTACCTGCCAATAATCTTTTAGCAAGTCTAACTTGCTAACGAAATTTGCGGTGCCCAGGTTATCAATACAATCCTCCATACGAGGGAGAGGGTACGAATCTCGAACAGTAACTGCATTTACTTTGCGGAAATCTGTCATAAACCTGGGGGAGCCATCGGATTTAGCTTCTAGCAAACACGTCTAACTCCACGGACTGTAACTAGCAGAAGCCAAATCATTTTGCAGGAGATACTCTACCTCCTGTTTCATCAACTGACGTTTAGTCTGATTGGCACGGTAAGCATGTTGTTTTATGGGGCGTGCATCTTTTACCTCTATATCATGTTTCAAGACAGAAGTGCGGGTTGAAACATCGCTGAATAGACAATCGTACTGGCCAATCAGCACCTCCAGATCAAGTTGTTGTTCAGCAGTTAAATGCTGCAATCAGCATGACAGGTTTGCAAGCATTTCCAAATTTGGGAGGCGGACCGGCTGATGTGTAGGGACGTGCCTCTGTGGATCATCTCCGTGGAGAGCGCCCACAGACTCACAATGACAGCAGCAGCTTTAACATCTGAATGCTCTGCTACTAAGGGCGAGGGAACAGCAGAGGTAACATTGTCCTCGCAGGACTGGTAGCGTTTCAACAGGTTTATGTGACAGACTCTAGTCTTACGCCTTCTGTCTGGAGTACCGAGTACATAATCAGTGTCACTAAGAGGCTCTTTAACGACATATGAACCGGAGAATTTAGCTGCGAAAACGGATTTGGTGATGGGCAGCAGCACCAAAACTTTTTCACCTACCTCAAAACTGCAAGATACAGCGGAATGATCGTAATATTTTGTTAATTTTTGGGCGCAGACTCACATGACAAGAACTGGTCGTGCAGTGACTTAAGCGGCCCACGGGGTGTGTGGCCAAAAACAAGCTGTGCAGAACAAAAGCCAATCGATTTCTGCACGGCGTCACGAGCAGCAAACAAGACAAAGGGGACTCCCTCGTCCCACTGTTTCTCAGTTTCCACACAGTACTTTCGGAGCATCGACTTTAGCGCCTGAAACAAAGCCATGACACGAGTTTACTCTGAAAAGGCCAAACATTAAATGTATACACTCATTATCCCCTGTTCAGTCTTGGAACCCATTGGCTATTGTCTGACAATGAAAACGGATGTCAGGACCTTCTGCAGTCTGATTAGCAACTTGATATGTGAAAATGATCAGAAAGACTAATCTCTATAAACAGATGTTTGCATATTAATGTCAATAAATGTTTAAAAAAGCTAATAAAAAGCTAAATTGGCATCAGCCGATAGTCGATGGGTTCCAAGATTGCATTTTGGCCAGTGATTTCCACCTCTTTTGCTCTCCGCATGACTTGAATGCAACCAAACCCAGTTCAAACATGATTGGTCAATACTACTTGGACTACAAACGGAAACCAGAACACTTCCAATGCATTCATATACAGATATCTGTTTATAGAGATGATCCCTTTTTCTACACAGGGGCTTTTTCTGTAGGGAAGTGAAATAGATTGGCAGCCTGCCCAGGGTTTGTGCCTTTTAAACATACTACTATTTTTATGGGTTTGTATCTGTGTGTCCAGAAATGTGTCTGGGATGTTTAGACTAGCATAGCACAAAGACTGGAAGTATCTGACTTAGACCAAACATGCATATTTCCTAAAATGTAGGAGTGGCTTTTAAATAAAGGCATTACCAGTTGAAGACACTCTATCTCACAAAACCTGTGAGTAATTTTTGGAATGCCTTTGCCACTTGTTTCTGATTCTTTAATTTATTTCTGATAGAAAAAGTACCGTGACTTTCGCCTTCAAGGGGTGCTGGACTCCACATTGAACAGTAAGATGTATGAAACCGTGAGAAACCGGCTGACCTTGGAAGAAGCCACTGCCTCAGTGAGGGAAGGAGGGATGCAAGGCATTTCCATGAAGGACAGTGATGAAGAGGACAACGATAACTAGATCAAAGGGCCTGAAAACTGAGGGTGAGCGGTATATTGCCTGAGAACCCATGGAGCCTTTTCATGAGGTCAGAACAGATTGGCCTAACATCCATATTGTTCTCTCCATTATTTGCTTAGCCAGTTTTTTTATTTGTGTAATAGTTCTACATTTATGTCTGACTTAATACAAGAAGAATGTGTTTTGTGTCTATAAAAACTTGCATGACACAAGTCTGTCCTATCAATGCTCTTGAAATTCCTCACAAGCTTTAATTCTGCAAAACTAAAATTTAAACAGCCAATAAGATAGTTCCTTAAATCAATTAAACACTGATTTCTCCTAAAATGTAAGCAAATGAGAATATCCAAAAAAGGGCCAAAATGTGTGAGTCTAAAACAAAATGTGACCACTCACAATCTAAATAAGATGATAAAGAATGGCAAGTGATTGCATCTATATGGAGTTCTTCATTTGAAGGCATGAAAAAATATTATTTTGTACCTTCATGTTGTGCAACCCAAAATTTCTACAGTCTTTGAACGGTAGCTTTCCTGTTGCTTGTCGCTAAGATTTATCTTCCATATTCTGAAAAGTATATACAGTATAGAACACTCTCTTTACTCTAGGCAATTATACTGGAAAATAACTTACGAAATACTTAAGTGATCCAGGCCACTATATTGTGATTCCAAGTGAACTTTATTTGTTTTAAAATGCCAGTGCATGATTAACTTGTCACTGTTGAAGTCATATTGCTGTTAATCCAAATGGTACCAGAACCGATGGTTTCTTGTTGGTTTAAGGTCAGACTGACCAAAACAACAGAGTTAAAACAACAACATCCATAAGATATTTCCAAAATGCCTCCTGAATGCTCTTGAGCAATTTGGACAAGCATTTTGTTCCCAAGTTGATGAACTAGGCAATGAATTTATTTGTGTTGTGCTAAAAATGTGCAGTGACTGCAGCTATTGTATGTTGCATTGTTGTAAAAGGTGTGAAAATGGTAATTTTTTTTGTAATGGGTCTACATCATGTGTCAAACATAAAATCTACACAAAATGTTCAAAATGCTGTGATATGTTGTGATGGAAATGTTTTTTGTCTGTTCTCGGCCAGCATGGATGATATTCCTCTTGCAACACACAACAAATTAAATCCAAGGCATCGTCAAACAGTAAAGCTGATGGGTGCAAAAACTGAGTAATTTTAATAACCTAGATTCAAAATTTGAGGACAGCATTCGGCCTTCAAGCGTTTACATCTCAAGTTAGCAACCCCATTGTTTCCTCTCCTACCTTTCACATGAGGACATTATAAATTTCATCTCCCCAAACTGTATTGCACAAACATGGTACATGGCTTTGTTTGGATTGGTACTTCCTGTTAACCAAATAGTTACTGTCGCATTAGCCTAAAACAATTTAAAAAGGTTTAGTTGTTTGCGTGTGTGGAGCACAAATTCAACTGTATTATCCTTTTGGAGGATGTAGTTTGTGGTGCTGTTGAACTGCATTGTATTATACAGAGAGATGTTTCTGTTATTTAGCCTACCCTTACCGATATATATATATATATAGATATATATGGGGTGGACAAACTAATAACTATACAGTTGAATCAGCACCTCTTAAAAATAGCTTCAACAAACACTGAAAATTATAACCTTCATTTGATTGATTTATTTCATTTGTTAAAGGGACCATGCACAAGATTCAACATAAATGTTACCATTTGGTGTGTTGTACCAGAGTTAGCTTCAAGCAAATTTTCATCTTCTTGAAGGTAGCATTTATTGTTGGATTAGGGGCCAATCACACAGAGATGCATTATTAGAAACATGTTGGCAACAAAACCATTGTTTTCCAATGATATCACATGTGGTGGTTTTTAGATGCACATGAAACTTAAAATATTTTCAACTATACTCAATCAAAATCAATGAAAAGCTGGTTTTGACCACTTTACCACTTTACCTGTTTTGATGCCATTGACTATGCTAGTAAATATAGGCTAGCTAGCTAGTCAGCGAGCTGTTGGACTGTGAGAGAACTACAGAGCAGATGTGTAGTGGGGGGTAAACCCAAGTAACCTCAGTTATACACAACTTTGAAAGGCAGAGAGCTCGACATTTGTTTGAATCCATGTTTTCTGTTAATTATATTTGATTGCCCGGTTGCGCATGCTGTCCCGCTTACATAATTAACCTAAATATGTCAGTGACATTAAAATAATATGCAGTATTATTGTGAAAGTGAGAAATCAGTTGGAAAATTGCACAAGGAACTAAATCAAACAAGCTCACTTTAGCGCATTAAAGCAGAGGCAGAGATTTATCAAAAAGTTAAAAAAAAAGTAAAATATGGATTGGAAATTGTAGGATTTTGAATCAAAGAGGATGGGAGGTCGGTCTCTTTATACCATATAAAGGCTGAATACCATCTAAAGGCATGAATATAGTCCCTTTTTCAAATTTTACTCTACTGCCAAGTTCTTCTGTTAGACATCTGCGTTTATCCTTCAAAGAAAGTGATACTGTGTTACTCATTTAAGAATGGTCATTTGTATCCAAGTGTCAAGTTGGCTACCTATAAATAAATAATAGAAATATATCTACAAAATGTATATACATTTAAGTCAGTCAGTGGTAACTCAAGATGTATCTTGCAGTTGTGATAAACACCAACTGTCTGTGGTCTCACCTCTTCAAACATTTGATTTCCACATCAACCTAACACCTCTGACATTACCCTGTCTTTATGTTGGTTAATGGATGAGTTAGCAAGGCAGTACACATACAGTTTGGTTTAATCACACTGATCAACCTGTTTTCAACTTTTTTCACATTTTCAATTTTAAAACAAAAGTTCTATTTTAGTCAAAAATCATTTAAATAATAGAGTTTATTTGCCATGCATTATATATGTTCTTGCCCTGCACTTCATTCCAGGATGTATGATGGGGCGAATCCACATTTTTGTATAATGGATGATGGGAAGTGAAGTCTGCCTGTACTTTCCCTCTGTCAACTGTTTTCTATGCTGTAGCTGTGTGTCGCCCTGTGTGTAAGTACTGCATGTCCCTAGTATTCACTCCCTCAAAGTGTTTTTGCTCCATGTGTGAAGTTACCGGTGGGTTCGTCATGCTTCTGCACCAAAGCCAAGAACTTTTAAATAAAAGTGAATGGCAAATGTGGAAAGAACTTGTCGCCTCATTCATTGTTTTTGCTGTGAACTGACTGACTGATTGTGAATTCAAAAATCAGCTGATGATTGAGTAAAATCTTCTATTTGTTATAGAAAGCTTTTAATAAGTAGAGTCCACTTAGAGTGGACAGGGATGTTGTGTCAGTAGACTGCAAAAAATACATATTTGTTAATCCAGGGGGACTGACCTCCTTCCCTCCCCCACAGCTGCATTTTCTTAAGCAAGAGAGTCTGAGATTAATGCTGCGGATTAAAGCATCAGTCATCTTGAGAGTTGATATTACTGTCGAGAAGGAGATTGAAAGAATTGCCAGAGATCAAATCAGCAATGACCAAAATCAAATCAAGAGCCCAAGATGGAAGCTAAGAGGCAGGAGGATTAGATATAATATAGCCCCAAATTAAAAGAAGAGAGGATATCTTTTAATTATGTTATAGAAGAGGGGGAGACAAATCCTTCTTAGAAGAATTGAGAAAAAACAGATTTTTGGGGGAAATAAGGTAAATCGAACTGCAAGTAAAATTTTACTTTCTCCTTGTTCGATGCATATGTATCATCCAGACGTGTAAAATGTTTGGACTTTTTTGCAGCTGGACATAAATCATCAGATAAAAAGTAGACAAATCAACACTACTGTATTATTTAGCTTGATAATAATATTAGCAGTTAGGATCCAGTGATAGTGGTTTAGTCTGGTTTGATGGATTTCTGCAATCCGCTAGAGATAAGACATATCACTCTTGTGGAACTACAAAAGCATTCAGTCCACTCTGATATTGTACATGGTGTTACAGAGATCTGTGCCAACCTCTGCCGAATTAACACCAAAATTATTTTATTCACACACACAGCCTATAGTGAAATGCTTGCACCAAAGAGCCCGACTGTCATGAAGGAGAGCAGGCTGAGAAAGACAAAAAAATCTGCCCGATGCAATCCTTATATTGGCTTGGTACCAATTTACCAATTGGTTTGTGGAGTACCGTTCTGAAGCCTCGAATTCAGCGTTTTGGCCGTCACCATGACAGTTTGAGAGTTCAGCGGAGGTGATGTACTGCGAGTTTGGCTGTTCTCATTGGCTGTGCAGTTTCGACTCGCCCGTAGCAGAAAACAATGGCCCGGTTACAATCTCATATCACAGCTAAACAGTACACTTAAATATGTCTCTGAAACGATTTTAGGAGAGAAATAGTCAACACTGTCTTTAATGGAGCCTTGGAGGAGCTAAGTTTCATCAACCGTCAAAGACATGTCCAGGTGCTTAATACAAAGACTGGAGGCAGGGGGAAAGCCTATTTCCAACAGAAGTGAAAAAACAAACCTTGCAAAAACTCCAAAGCTTTCAGTTTCTTTTCTAGGATACCCAGACTTCATTGAATTAGATGCATGCATTTATGCAACCACAGCTATTGAGCATTTATATTCTGGACATTAAACTCAATTAAACTCCTCCACATTTCTTTGGTTATTATTCAGTCCATTCCCTGTTAAAATATCATTCAACATCATAGCCAGTAATTCAGACATGAAGTCTGCCAACATTGCTGGAGGATGTGAAGCAGAATAGAAAAGAGAAAGGATAGTTTGGGTTAATGTAACAGAGACGTCGCATGCTGTCTCTACAGAAGCTATTCCTTCATATCCTATACATATTGAGAATAATCAACAGCAAACGCACAAAGTAGCCCACCTAGTTTAACATCCAATCTGCAGTGTCGGGGCGCTGCCTCGGAACATCACTCATTTAATTTCCCCATGAATATCCAGACAAGATTGGGCAGTTCTGTGCAAAACACGACACCAGGACGGATTAATGGGCCTGGAGATTTATGCCGGCACGATCTGAGCTGCTTTGGCTTTTAAGCTCCAATCAAGTGGGGAAATGGGAAACGATAACTGTATCAAAATAAAAAGAATCTCCAACTGACCATCACAGCGAGAACTGGCCCTGAGTCTTAGCGCTCACAGGCTGCTGCTGTACTGCAGGGAGTCCTGCAGTGATACGGATGTGAGAACAAGCCGTTCCGACACATTGAGTCCATCAAGCCGTCTCCGACATGATACGTGTGGATAATGACAACAGGAAAATGAAAAGATGAAGAGAGAAATCAGCCCATGTGTAGACACTCAAGCTGCCAAATAAATTGCTCTGTGATTTGTTGTGGAGAGGCATTTCATTTACAATGCGTCTCACAGTGTCCTTTAAGGAAAACAGCATCAAAACAGAGTCGGCCTACAGCCCAGGAGATGTGGTTATTTTTGTACGGCTGCTTTGCGTGCCAGAAGTGTCAAAATTGCCTGCCATTTGAGAGGGCAGGTAGATGTCAGATCCTTTTAATAAAAGCGGCCCCCAAAGCCTCTTATGTTTCCCTCCCCATGCACCAAAACCTTCTTATCATGGCCTTAAGAGGGGACAACAAGCCCGCTGATTAATTTTAGATCTTTTCCATGAAAAGAGTAGCTTACAGTTTAAAGCAATCTCACTCAGTGTTCAGGCAAGACACGAGCGCAGATTGTTTTATTCCTCAGGGATGAATATTACACAGGACTGTTTGTCCTGTTTCATGGTGGTATACAGTAAAAGCCCATATGGGGATCAACAGTATCACCGTCTTAAACTGGGACTGCTGAGGCCTCTGTTATTATTAGATGGATGTCCGGAGGTAATCCCCCCCCCCCCCCCC